AAGAAATTGAAGCAGGAGCAAGAGGAATGTTTAGCAAATGTAATCGCTGGTCAAGATTGTGGCGCTACTCCCCACGGGTTCCGTTAGCGGCAAAGGAGATGGCTAGGCTAAATGCTAATGCTAACAACTCACCTCGGGCGCATTACATACGTCACGGTAAACTCAGATCCAATCGTTTCAATCTGCAAAAGGAGTTAACCCCTCCCACCTGTTCACGGAGCACAATGGAGCAAATCCAGACCTAAGCATGAAATGAAATTTGTACTAAGGTGTGGTACAACCAGGCTACATCCATTCTAACATGGATGCATTTATAACACATCACCTGTTTTAGTGTCTGTCGGACCACCAAGCAAAATACACACATTCCTTAATTAGATGAGCACCCGATTTGTTGAAATGATTTTCTGTGACAATAAATAAGATTTATTTAGGAAAAGAAAACAGATTTTTTTTAAATGAATTATAACATTGCTCTTGAAATTTTAACGACCCATACTCATTTTGAACGGGTATTATTAATCTGCTTGCCTTTTGAAAGATATCTATATATCTTCCAAAAGTGTAAGTGTAATGGAGGGAATTCATTCTAAAACTGGCAGATGCAGTTTCTTTGCAGCCATTAAAAAGAAAAGCAAGTTTTGTACCTCATCTTCACTAGTAAATATAGTAAACTGCTACAGGGAGGATTTCACACAGTAATGTCACAAGACATTACAGTATCCAAACATGGGATAGAACCCTGCCAAGTCTCTCATCATGTTTTTATTGTTTTACTGGTGTGTGTGTGTGTGTGTGTGTGTGTGTGTGTGTGTGTGTGTGTGTGTGTGTATGTGTGTTCATGAGCGCGTGTGTGTGTGTTTGTCTGTGGTTTGGGGTGGGTCTGTTGGGTGGTCTGGGGGAGGGGTCTTGGGTCGGCGGGATTGTTTTTAACCAAACTGTAAAGCACTTTGTGTTGCATCTTATGTATGAAAAGCGCTTTATAAATAAAATTTGAATGATTGATTGATTGAGAAAAACATGCAAATTAGCGGTCGAAAGAGCAGTCGCAAATGTTCCCAGACTTCATCAAGTTGCCATTTTACGAGAGGAAGAAAGGGATGCAGGATAGTTGCGTAACAAAAATGCAAAAACTTATCAGCCAAATGTGCACATCGACGGGGAAATCCAATTTAATTTTACACAGCCGATGGAAAGCTATTTTTAGATACGCTATTTAGTCATTACTGTATGCAAATGAGACTATTAAAACAAGTTAGGAGCGAGAATAGCATTATGTGATAGACTTGTGGGTCAAAGTTGGAGGGAATGCTATTATGTTTCCACGGAAACTTGGCAGCCAAAATCTTTCATCATTTTCTTGTTTGCCAACTTGGGGCAAATAGGAGTTTATTTCCATATAAATAAAGTATACAGATTGGGATGTGGGATTTAATGGAGAGGCAGGTTACTCATTATTTGTATAGAATAAAATGCTTCCTAAACCTCATTATTTCATGTAGATTATTCATTTGTTTGCTGCTATAGGAGAGTAAACACATGAGATTGAGAGCGTACTGAAAATGTTTGTTTTTCCCACTCAAACAATCTTAATCTTAGGACTAACATGATGACTTTGCTTTTAAGATACTGGCTATAACAAATGTACAGTACCTAATCTCTTCTGAACTTTGATAGCTATGGGCCTGGCTTGTGGCTGTGTGGTATTCATTTTTAACCATTGAAATTGCCTTAATACTAATACAAATATATAGTCTTGAACTTACTTTCACTGAGAACTCTTTGAAGCACAAACAAGTGGCTGGGCTTTGTATGAAGCTGAGGTTCGGTAGTTTTTGTCTCATTTTCTTTATGTGAGATGAGATTATATGGGAATTTCTGCGCAGAGAAAGACCAAACTTCCATCTACATTTTCCATGGTAAGTATAAAGGATAGGATCTATTTGACTGTAGAATAAGCAGGTTTTGAGTATTCCCCTTTCACAGCAGAGGCAAATGTCACTGGAGACTAGATTTGGGAACATATAAAGAAAAAAGATCCAGGCAAAATCGATATAAATTTTTCAGTGTAGACAGGAAGAGGTCACATTGTTACCTTACATCAACAAAGATGGCGCCTCGTACGGTTGACATGGCTCTTTGCTGCTCTCTTTTTCTTTTGTTTTTACTTTTTAACTGCGCATCTGGCTGTTCCTACACCCGTGAGGAACTTATGAACATCCGACCCACCGTTCCCATGGACCTATTGCCTGTTTTCTTGGCATCTGCGGCTGATTTAGTTCATGTTCTAGCCAAAAAAGTGTGGACCGTAAAAGGGGAAGGCGCGGAGGCCTGCTCGTGCGTCTTAGGCCTGTTTCACACCGCACACGAATTCGTGAACGAATTCTTCTTCGAAACCCGTTCGCGTGCATTCGCAAGCTGCGCTTCAAGTAGCGTCTGTTGTGCAAATGAGAGAAAGCTCTTCTGCGTACAGACCGGCGCCTCGGCGGCGCGCCGGGAATCGGCGCGCGCCGCTGCCGGCCTCCGCTCCTGAAACCAAAAAATGGAACTCGAGCGCATTTTTTCCGCGTGTAGGCTGCGCAGCGAAGCGGCTTTCAGCACGAAAATATTGCAAAAAATAAACTTTTATAAAGCAATTTCACGTTTTATCTAATCTCTTATTGTAATGCATAGTACATATAAGTTTATTCTTTTTAATTACACAATTTTCCATGTCATACTTTTTTTTATGCATAAAATATAATTGTAATTTCAAGGCGACATAACAGTTTCTATTCCAATCTTATAATTATTTAATTCTATAATTATTCTAGTATTTCTTTAGTATTAATCAGGAGATAGAAGTATGCGTGTCACGTTGATATGATGTGGACACTGCGGAGACTTCTTTCCTTTCACGAAAAAAGAAAAGCACATGGAGATGGATGACATACGCATCATCGAGGCCGTGGAGGGCTTCTCCGAATTATATAGTAAAGGACACCCAAACTATAAGGACATTCGGAAGAAAGAAAGAACCTGGCAGGTTATTGGAGCCATGCTAGGTTTAGACGGTATGTATTGTGTTCACAACATCGCATGCATAAAGTCGAACTCCAAAACAGTGAAACAAGTGATTGTATTCATGTGATAGGAGGGCACACGCTATTTAAACCGCTAATTAGCAAATATACAATAAAATATAACTTAAAAAGCATTAACTTTGAATAACAAAAAGTTACCTTTTTTTTAAAGTTTGATAACAAAAGAAGTATGTGTTTTATAGATAAGATATGTATATATTAGTGACCCAAAAAATGTAAGGGAAAATACAAAAGAAAAAACAGAAGAAATTAACAATATCAATGTAATACAGCTATTACGGTTTTCAAATAGAAAGCATTTAAAATATGCGTTTACTACAAAGGAATAAGAAAGAAACAGTATACAGGCATTATGTTTATTTACAAATTTAAAATGCCAAGTAACATTTACTTTGGTAATTATAATGCCAATTTAATCGGCATGTGGGAGGTCTCCTGCTGCTGACTGGAAATAGTCAGTGAATCTCTGTCTTACTGAGGCAGCTTCTTGGCTTGGTCTATGGCCACCCATCTCTCCAACTGACCTACGCATGCTCATTTGTCCCTGGTTAGACTCCTCCAACCATCTTCGATTGTCTGATGGAATGCTTGAAATAGTTGTGCACAGATTGCAACAAACTAACAAAAACAGTTGTGTCCAAATGTTCTGGTGTCATGTTTATCTATTGTGAGCAGCACCCTCCCCCCTTCCAGCCATTAATGCCAAATGGCACACTCACTGCATCCTTGCCCGTGACAACCTGTATTTAAATGGTATGTTTTGGACCTTCTATGGATTCAGATTCCTGAGTAGGGTCTCATTTGCAGGTCTGGTTTCAGGGGGAAGGCAGCATCACCCACGAATCAATGAGGCATTGGAGTCCCCCCCCTCTGGGGGTCCACCGTTAGGCCAAAAGGACTGGGGCTGGAAACATGTAGTCATTTTTGCTCCAGGCCCTCTTTTCAAGTGGAGATTGTTGACAAATATCCCCCCCCAACACTTGCACCTCCGTAGTCCCCAACATGTATATATATGAAGCGTGAGTCTGCATCCATGCCAGAAGATTTGATGGAAAAAGTGGTGTTTGTAGTTCGTAAGAACAGACTACCTGGAGTTTGGTGGTGCACGTATCTCGATGTGCTTTCCATCAATGGCTCCAATGCAGTTTGGATAGTTCCACTTTTCCCAAAATCCAGCTGCCAACCGTACTCCAGATATCTTCTGTTGGAACAGGAATTTGTGTCCCGAGCATGTGGCTTTCCAGGGCCTCCAATGTATTGTGGACTATGGTGGCGGACTGTAGAAACTCCTAGTCTGTACTGGAAAGCCAAACTAGTAAAACTTTTCTCCAGTTGCAAGAAATCTGAAAACGAATAAATAATTGAGCTATCTGAATTAATACAGTTTGAAATTCCAGTGTATATGTAATAACAATAGAAATTACTATATTTTTGTGGTGTATCTATAACTATGTTGTTAAAATTTAATACTGCATATGTGTGTGTATTTATTATTCTATATTTCTTAAACAGCTGAGGAATGCAAGAAAAGGTGGAAGCAATTGAGAGATGCTTTTGTGAAATACACAAAGAAACCTAGTGGCTCTGCAGCTGACGGAACTGGATGGCGCTATGGGAATCAAATCTCTTTTCTACTTCCACATATTAAAACGAGAAGGCGAGTACTATTTAAAATACACACTTAAATAATTATGTAGTACATCATTAACTTCTATTTAAATTAAATCAATAATAAATTGTAACTTATATTATTTCAATTATCTAGTTCCAGGGGCTCTATCAGTCAAGCGGAGCTGTCAAATTCCGACTCGGATGACGACCAGGAAGAACAACCTCTAGAATTGACACCTCAATCCAATCCAAGAACACCAAATCAAAATGAACAAAGTGTGGACTTCACGACCCAGACCAAACCGTTCAAACACACCAACACAACACCAGAGCACCCTGTCCCTCGTTCAAAACACACCAACACAACACCAGAGCACCCTGTCCCTCGTTCAAAACACACACCAACACAACACCAGAGCACCCCTGTCCCTCGTTCAAACACACCAACACAACACCAGAGCACCCCTGTCCCTCGTTCAAAACACACCAACACAAACACCAGAGCACCCCTGTCCCTCGGTCTAGCACATCACCTGCAAACAGAACAAGCACTGCAACCAACATTCAAAGATCAAAACACTTCTCCAGCCCATCCACGAGTACAGGCGCTTACTGAGGGACAACGCAGTCAATCAAGCCCGATACGAAGAAACAGAAGATCTAGGCAAGATGAACAGAGAATGGTTTCAGTTTCTGCATTAGAGCAGCAGGTACTGGACATATGCACTGCCCCAGCTGTTAGCCCTGCTCCCCGTATCCCTACTGAGGATGAGGCAAATTATCACTTTGCTTTGAGTTTGGTGCCACATTTGAATGCCCTGCCACGATCGCTAAATCTTTTAGCAAGGAGTAGAATGATTGAGGTGATAACAAACATGGAGGAAATGGCAAGGAGACCAGCAAACCCACATCCACAAAACAGAGGGTTTCATCCTTACCAGAGACAACCGAAGCAATACCACACACAACATTCAGTGCCCTCAGCATCCACACCATTGGAGTCACAAATGAGCTTCATCCAAAACCTTAATGATCCCAATATCGAGGATGATTATTAAAGTGAATGTGTTGGTGCTTTTTCAAAGTTTTCTTCCACATGTTACAAACAAAGTTATTATTTCAAACATTTCAATCATCATTTTTATTTAATTTGTGAGCCTTGTTATTTCTTTTTACTAAACCAACCACACATAATTTAACGAAAATACTATCTATATTTTTGTTAGTTTATTTGTGATGTGTTTAGTGTAAGCTGGTCTTACATGTACATTTGTTAATTTAAAATATTGTTTTTTGGGGGGGAGTAAACAGATGTTACAAGTGTTTGCATTGTGCTGTAATTGTGCAGCTGAAGTTTATTCTTATTATAATGTTCACCCCAATTTTATTACAACAATAAATGTTTATTGTTCATTCTTACCTGATTGTTACTGCCAGTCTTTGCTTGGGGGAGATGCTCTTCCTGTAATTTGTGTCCTCACGCCTAATTGTGGGACCAATAATGGACAGTAGACCCTCCATTTGGAGAGCAGACATTCTAAAGTATGTAAAATGTTTATCTGGATGCAAATTGCAGCTCTGCCACAAGATGGTGGTATGCTCCAAATTGTCTCCTGTTCTGATTTATGGGATGAATCCACAATCTCAGGTTTTGTCTTCTGCGTAGTCTCAACAAAAGAAACAGGGCCAAGGCTTTTCTTCGGTCAAAAACACGATCTTTAATAGTATATAATACCGTAAACAAAAATAAATCAGTATACTATAAAAACACATAATGGATTTACGGTTTAAGACCCAAACTTACCCATTTTGCGGTAGTTTCTTGGAAAAGACGTTACAGAAGAAGTACGTGTCGAGTCAAAGAAGTCTACAGCATAAAGGACTAGGCTTCCGGCCAAAGGTTAAACCTGTTCTGTTTTGGGGGAGGGGGAGTGACGAGGGTTTTACATTCAAGACATGGGCAGGTCCAATACACAAAAAACAACACCACACTATGATAATGAAACGACAATCAAAATAGGCTATAAGATACATTATAAGGAAATGTTAGCAATTTATTTAAGGTCTACATGTGCTATTTTGATTTCTGACCTGTTATTTCAGACAACATATGTAAATATACAACATGTTTACTAGTTTGGAGTACAATACTACTCCTTTTGTGCGTGCTACTCGTCTAGGCGCTTCGCCCACGCTCGGCGTCAGTCTGAATACATGCGCTCGCCGCGAGGTAGTTCGGCTGGAAAGGGCGCTCGGCTCTGCGCTCGGCGTGCGGTGTGAAACAGGCCTTAGGAGGAGAGGAGCGCGCACGGCTCTCCCCGGCATTTTTCTCTCCAACGTACGCTCACTGGGCAATAAGATGGACGAACTCAGCCTGCTCATGAGAAGAAACAAGGACTTCGCCACATCCTGTGTCCTCTGCTTCACTGAGACCTGGCTAAATGAGCGGATCCCGGACTGCGCTCTGGAGCTGCAGGGCTTTGGGCTGTTCCGCGCGGATCGCCATTGTGCGCTCTCAGGGAAGAGCAGAGGCGGAGGGCTGTGTTTCTACGTCAATACAAACTGGTGTAAGGCCTGTTTCACACCGCACGCCGAGCGCAGAGCAGAGCGCCCTTTCCAGCCGAACTACCTCGCGGCGAGCGCATGTATTCAGACTGACGCCGAGCGTGGGCGAAGCGCCTAGACGAGTAGCACGCACAAAAGGAGTAGTATTGTACTCCAAACTAATAAACATGTTGTATATTTACATATGTTGTCTGAAATAACAGGTCAGAAATCAAAATAGCACATGTAGACCTTAAATAAATTGCTAACATTTCCTTATAATGTATCTTATAGCCTATTTTGATTGTCGTTTCATTATCATAGTTAATTATAAGGTGTGGGGGCGGCCTGGATCTCCATGGGGGTTAAGGTTAGGTGTGGGGAAGGCCTGGATCTCCATGGGGGTTAAGGTTAGGTGTGGGGAAGGCCTGGATCTCCATGGGGGTTAAGGTTAGGTTATATATATATATATATATATATATATATATATATATATATATATATATATATTATATATATATATAATATATGTTACAATTATATTTTATGCATAAAAAAAGTATGACATGGAAAATTGTGTAATTAAAAGAATAAACTTATATGTACTTATGCATTACAGTAATGAGATTTGATAAACGTGAAATTGCTTTATAAAAGTTATTTTTTGAATGTTTTCGTGCTGAAAGCCGCTTCGCTGCGCAGCCTACACGCGGAAAAAATGCGCTCGAGTTCCATTTTTGGTTTCAGGAGCGGAGGCCGCAGCGGCGCGCGCCGATTCCCTGCGCGCCGCCTCAGCGCCGGTCTGTACGCAGAAGAGCTTTCTCATTTGCACAACAGGACGCGACTTGAAGCGCAGCTTGCGAATGCACGCGAGCGGGTTTCGAAGACGAATTCGTTCACGAATGTGCGGTGTGAAACAGGCCTAACAATGTGACAGTGATCTCCAAGCACTGCTCTCCTGCTCTGGAATATCTTTTCATTCATTGTAAACCATATTACTCCCCGCGGGAAATTGTTTCATTCATTCTTGCCTCTGTTTACATACCGCCATGCGCGGACGCGCGCGAGGCTCAGCGCGCACTCGCAGAGCAAGTACTGTGTATGGAACGCTTATACCCGGACTCTCTGATTATTATCCTGGGGGATTTTAATAAGGGAAACTTGAGCCAGGAATTACCCAAATACAGACAGTTTATCAAATGCCCGACCAGAGAGGAGAACACTCTGGATCACTGTTTACACCACCGTGCGCGGAGCTTTTCGCGCTGTTCCCAAGCCAGCCCTCGGCTTCTCAGATCACTCCATGATACATCTGGTTCCTGCTTACAGACAGAGACTAAAGCTCTCGAAACCTGCAATGAGGAGCTCCAAAGTGTGGTCTGATGAAGCTGTGGAAGAGCTGCGCGCATGCATGGAATCTACAGACTGGGACCTTTTCAGAGCTGCCACAGATAGTTTGGATGAATATACAGACACTGTGACGTCATACATTCACTTGATGCTGTGAGGATAGCATCATTCCAACAAGGACCAGGGTCATCTATAACAACGATAAACCCTGGTTCACTGCTAAACTCCGGCAGCTCAGGAAAGCAAAGGAGTCTGCTTTCAGGGAGGGGGACCGCAGCGGCTACAAAGCAGCTAAATATCAGTTCAGGAGAGAACTGAAAGCAGCCAAGTCCCGGCACAGAGAACGACTACAGGAGCAGTTTGGTAACAACGATACTGCTTCTGTCTGGAGGGGCCTATACGGGAGATCACCAACTACAAACCCAAAGCCCCCCCCTGTGCTGACGACCACAAGCTAGCTGACGATCTGAACTTATTTTTCAGTCGCTTTGATGCTGCCCCTGACACCTCTCCCTCCCCCACCCCCCACTACTCTAACGACCCACCCATCAGCCCTGCCCCCAGCCTAACAATAGCCGCTAAAGAGATTAAACAACTCTTCCTGAGGCTGCACCCCCGCAAAGCTCCTGGCCCGGACCACGTGTCTCCGGCCACTCTGAGACACTGCGCCAGTGAGCTTACTCCTGTGTTCACGGACATCTTCAACTCCTCTCTGCAGTCCTGCCATGTCCCGGCCTGCTTCAAATCCTCCATCATTGTCCCCGTCCCGAAGAAGCCCAGGATCACAGGACTCAATGACTACAGACCTGTAGCACTTACGTCTGTCGTCATGAAGTCATTTGAACGCCTGGTTCTCTCCCATCTCAAGTCCCTCACCTCCCCCCTCCTGGACCCCCTGCAGTTCGCCTACAGAGCCAACAGATCTGTAGACGACGCCATTAACCTGGCCCTCCACCACATCCTACAGCACTTGGACTCCCCGGGGACCTACGCCAGGGTCCTGTTCGTGGACTTCAGCTCTGCCTTCAACACAATCCTGCCATCCCTGCTCCAGGACAAGCTCTCCCAGCTCAACGTGCCCGATTCCACCTGCAGGTGGATCACTGACTTCCTGACGGACAGGAAGCAGCAAGTACGTTTTTTTTTTTTTTTTTTTCTTCCCCAGAGTACGTCTGGGGAAGAATGTCTCGGACTCTCGGATTATAAATACAGGAGCCCCACAGGGCTGTGTTCTTTCTCCCCTGCTCTTCTCCCTGTACACCAACCACTGCACCTCCAGCCACGACTCCGTGAAGCTGATCAAGTTCGCGGACGACACCACCCTCATTGGACTCATCTCCAACAACGATGAGTCTGCCTACAGGAGGGAGGTGGACCGGCTGGTGTCCTGGTGCAGTGGTAACAACCTGGAGCTGAACGCCCAGAAGACAGTGGAGATGATTGTGGACTTCAGGAAGAGCACTGTCCCCCCACCCCCACCCTCCGTGATGGACTCCCCCATCACCTCTGTGGAGTCCTTCCGTTTCCTGGGCACCACCATCACCCAGGACCTCAAGTGGGAGCCGACCATCAGCTCCCTCATCAAGAAGGCCCAGCAGAGGATGTACTTCCTGCGGCAGCTCAGGAAAGCCAAGCTGCCTGCACAGATGTTGGTGCAGTTCTACACGGCCATCATCGAGTCCATCCTCACCTCCTCCGTCACCGTGTGGTTCGCTGGAGCCACAGTCAGGGACAAACAGAGACTACAGAGCATTGTGCGCTCTGCAGAGGAAGTGATCGGCCGCAGCCTTCCATCGCTGCAGGACCTGTACGTCGCCCGAGCTCGAGGCCGGGCTGGTCGTATCACAGCCGACCCCTCTCACCCTGCACATGGACTATTCCAACCACTCCCCTCAGGCAGGAGGCTGCGGTCCATCAGGACTAGAACCTCCCGCCACAAGAACAGTTTCTTCCCCTCTGCTGTTGGACTCTTGAACACTTCTTAACCTGTCCCCCCGCCCTTTATAAAGTCACTTTACTGCCCATCATACGTCACTTTACTTCACTGTACTGCTGTCACCTTACATTGTGTGCACCATGTGCACTTGTATACTGTAAATAGTAACTGTAACTCTATTTTAAATTTAAATTTATTCTTTAGAAGTGTTTTTTATTCTTATTTTTATTATCTCTTTTTGACTGTTGCACTGAGCCAAAGCAATTTCCTAGTCTGTGACCTCCTGTTACTTACGTGGCAATAAAAATGATTCTGATTCTGATTCTGACATACAGTATGTTATCAATTGTCTGACAAAACATGTATTCCTGACATTCTACACGCACTTCTCGCCATATAAAAATCCACAGCCCACATGCCCATGCAGGAAGTAAGTGATGAGACAATGTTGCATTATTCTACCTGCTGCTGTATGTATGGATTCTGATTATTGTATACAGAAATTAGGTGTATGTTTTCTGAATGTGGTATTATTGTCGGGGAGTGGAGTGTGGTCTGAGGGAGCAAACCTGTTGTGTGTGTGTTGTATAATTGAAAAATAGATGCCGCATCTCAATTGCTTTCCCAAATAAATCAAATTGAAAAAATATGTAATAATTAAATCACTTTGCTATGGTGCTGGACTGGTTCTACACTGCTGCCATGGCCCACTGCAGTTTGGCCCATTGTGTCTGGTCATTTATCCATACACTTGCTGCTGACGCACATGGGTCTTTCAGACAAATCCCATTCACTTTTTTCAAAACAGATGACAACATTGTAACCAAACGCAGAAACCGCCTCAGCCTCTGCCCTCATTCTTCAGCCTTAGTCCTGGATCTATAGCAGAGCGGATCCTCCCTCAATGTGGGTCTCCCCGTGGTTTCTCACTTTTCAGTTTTGTCTTGCCGATCAGAGAGAGTGCAGTAGTGCACTAAGGACAGTAGTGATGATCCAGGGCACTCTATCCAGGACTATCTTCTGAGGCAAGAAAAGTGTAACTTTATAACATGAGAAATGTCTGAACAGTCATTTCCATAAATACAAATACCAACCAAGAATTTGGCTTAATCTTCTTGCAAATATAATCATTCTCGACGCGTATCGTGTTTCACCAAAATTGTTTGCGGGAACTAATGACTACAAAGGTTCCTAATAGCTTCCTGACAGGAAGTCTCCATTGAAACATGGGCAAATTAATGTGGACTTGCCATGACTAAGACGGAAAGGTCATCGCTAATCACTGCTACCATTCAGACACAGAGCTGTCTCAAAGAGCACGGAAATTATGCATCAAATACTGCTTGGCATCTTTTATCGATGTGGAACACACGCAGAATGTGGATTAAAAAGGGATTATGAGAAAGGCCAGTGGGTGTTTCATGTTTGTGGAATTATGATGATTATATACGAAGGAATCAGAAGACAGCAACAGTTGTCGGAAGAACTGCAGGCATCTTGCATGGACATTATTTTAGTCTTTATTCACACAGGTGCGCAGACACCTGTGTGAGATAAAAGTGTCTGCTGTAGTCTGTGTGACTACTTTGCAGTTTGGCACCAATTAAGGGGAGACGGCCCAGCGCTTAGCCCTATCCCTTACCTCCAGACCTTTCTGTGGAGTTTTTTTCAAATATATATGTATTATATTGTAAGGATTAGATAGCTATTTGGCCTACAAGCAGGACAACTGCAAGACTATACAAGGACTCTGATTGTGCATCTATGTTATGACTATGATTTGCTCTGTGTGTCCCTGAATGACACGTATGTCTTTCGATGTGTGACGTAACAATGACTATAAATATCATGCACTGACTCCATTTTGGTCTGAGAGAAAGAAACAATTGAAACCACTGGAACTTGAGAGAAACCTAAATAACTTCCGGAGTTTGGCGCACCACGATCCGTTTCTGTCTGGTTCATTCCTGACAATATATTTGATGATATATAACCATCCTTGTTTTCTTTTACGCTTTTTAACTATTTTTTTCCCTTTTAAACCTGGCCTTTTACAGCTGTAGAAACAACTAAAACAAAGTAACGGCACCTGGTAGCAGTGGAGTTTGTAAGAACAAAGATAGCACTGAAAGAATAATACGCCAATGAACTTTTTAACTCGAACTGCCCATTCAACAAAGTCTAGTGAAATATTTAATGAAACGAAAGCACACCACAGCATGGCAGTTAATATTTAATGCAACCCAGCATGCTCCTGGCACAGGACAAGTGTGCGCAAGACCACCAGCCGCTCCCACAAGTGTAAAGGCTTTTTATTATGAAGGCCTCAGCTAACAAGTAGAATATTTATGCCACAAGTTCTATTTCAACACAGAAGAGTTGTACTTTCTTTTGGGGTTGGATTTCATTCTTTCCATTGTTTTGCTTTCCATTAGATGTTCAATGCATCAAATAGTGATTAATAAATGGTATCTGTTATTTTGACTAAAAAGTAGACATCTTTTTAGATTTGACTTCATATTTTAGAATTATTTCAGACATTTTTAACATTCATTACATTCATGTATGTTGAATGTTTTGGCACGAGCTTGTGTCAAAAAAAAAAAAAACTTTCTTTCCTTGCAATGAAACAAGATGATGCGCCTCCATAGCAATCACTATGGAGACAAGCAAAGTAACAGGCTATGGAAACAGGTAAGAATGCAATATAATAAAACGCCAAAGACTGCGAATGTGATTGCTCAAATTATATCCATGAGATATAAAAGTGAAGTGGACTATTTATAGACTAGTTTACATATTTGCACAAGTCTTTTATGAAATGGCTCTGTCCAAGTCATGAGTTTCCTTTTGCTATTGGTTTAATTAAAATATCTGTCAGGTTTTTCTCTTCACCAAGGTATGGCACATGTGTTTGAACTCCCCTCTCACTAACAGAAGTGGCCACTCTGTCTTCTGAATATAAAGAATAATAACAAATCTCCTCTGTATATTTTTTCCTCAATTAATACTGACATGTCTGTTTGTGTGACGTTTGTGGGCGATAAATACAACAGTGGTGTTGGTGGTTGACAGTCTACTCATTTAAAGTCGTCCAGATTCAGCAGCTTGTTCCCATTCTGGCAGCTCCTCCCTCTCGTCCCCCTCCTGCCTCTCTAATGAACCTGCTACATATTAATCCTGATCACTAATGAGACTTTCAAAATGATAAGCTTCCTTAGTATTCACTAATGAACACATGCTAAAGCGGCTCCGGCATACGCGCACACACACACACACACAGACACACATTTAACAGGAGCACCTGTCTGTTTCTGCATCCGCCAGCACACAACCGGAGCCACGGTCCAAATGATTGCTGAGAAATACTCATTCAATTACCCAAATGTGCAAACGCTTATAAACCACACACATACAATAACAAGCAAACGACAGTGCATTTGTTCTCATTATTGGTTTCGGTTGTGGTGGTAGTAGTAGAGCGTTCAGGATAATATTGTCACTTTTAGAAGTAAAGATAGTATTAGAATTGTTGCAGAACAGTTGGAGTAGTTGTTAGCCAAACCATAGCAGTAAGCAGTAGGAGTAGTACATGTAAGTAAGAGTAAAAGTAATCAGTCTGGTAGGCTACCTGCTGCAGCCCATCAAAACCCGCCCCTTTCACCCTCGGCCAATCGCACAGTGCTGCCAACCTACGTCAATTAAGCAGCTATTGAAAAGTGGAAACTTCACAACATCTTACCCATTTCCAAGCCTCGCAAGGAGTTTGTTCTGGCGTCACTTCCGTTTACTCATTGCAACCACCACCGACCTCCTCTTCGACCTGCGATCCCTCGCTCTCATCACAACTTCACCCTTATACCACCACCGGTTCCTAGGGCTCGGGGGATTATAAGCAGCAAACAAGGAATAGCGTACCAAACAAATAAATGAATAAATAATTTAATGCAAATTTGTGTCTGTGTTGTCTCTCCAGGTTTAAATGGCGACAGTAGCTCAGTTGGTAGAGCATTGGCCATGAGCCAGAGGGTCGTGGGTTCGAGCCCGACTCTTACCATCCACTCCTGCTGTTGTTGTGTCCATGGCAAGACACTTAACCTCTGGGAACAGCAGCCACAGTGGGGCGGCTGCGGCTGAAAAGTGCCAAACTGCCATTGTGTCCTTAGGCAAGACACTTCACCCCCATTGCCTAGAATGAGTCTGGTGTGTGTGTGTGTGTGTGAGAATGGTTGGTGGTGGTCGGAGGGGCCGATGGCGCATACTGGTTGCCTCGCTTCTGTCAGTGTGCCCCAGGGCAGCTGTGGCTACAGTAGTCGTTTATCACCACCGTGTATGGAGTGAAAGAATAACGAATGTAAAGCGTCTTTGAGTGTCCAAAAAAGCGCTATATAAAACCAATGCATTATTAATGTTAATGAGAACATATTGATCAATCTCGATTCACAATTTTAATTTAAACAAAACAGAATATACTGGAATGACAATATTTTTTATGGCCGAACCTAATTCACATGAGTGAGTCCTCCTAACTCCTTTTATTTATCAACATTTCTTTTGATTGTCAATAATCATAATCTAATAAACTAGAGATAAAAAAAAAAAAAAATCTTGTGAAAGAAAAGACTGACATCAGAAGAAACATATGAAACAAACATGATTTAATAGAGAATGGATGACCTTTCTTGAAGCATTGTGGACATCTGTCTAACCAGGTGACTTTCCCTTCGTAATGAGTCTCAACCAGTGGGGGAGGGTCCCAGCTCAAAAGTGGCCAAAATGACGTGCGCTGACATGCTTGCAATACCACCCCGGGCCGATGGGGGTGGACCCAGAAGTAGAATTAGCCAATGCTAACATATAGCATCTTCTTA